AGAGAGAGAGAGAGAGAGAGAGAGAGAGAGAGAGAGAGAGAGAGAGAGTGAGTTCCTACTGAGGGATGCACTTCTCTATGTAGTTTGGCATTGAACACATGTACAATTCTAAAATAGACTGTTCAATTTGCGTCTCTGGGTTTGTGTGTATGTCCCTTCGAGTCAGCATTGACTCCTGGGGGCTACCTGGAATTTTTCTGGCAAGATTTTAGAAGTGGTTTGCCCTTGCTGCTTCCTAGGGCTGAGAGACAGTGACTGGTCCAGTCACTCAACTGGCTTTGAGCCTCAGGTGGGACTAGAAGTCATAGTCTCCTAGTTTCTAACCTGGCGCCTTAATCACTAGATCAACTGGCTTTCACCTGAATCATACCCTCCAAATATGTTCCCAGAATTCCTAGTAGCCTTGAATTGTGCTGGCTAAGAATTCTAATTCGTACATTGAGACACCATCAGATTGGAAGCAGCAGTTTTAAAAGCGTGCTACAGCAATAAATGTTCTCATTATGAATTTCCTACGTTTCAAATCATGTCAGAGCTATGAACATGTGCTGAAAAACATTTCCTCATATGAGAATATTTTAACTGGCAAAGTGCAGGGTGGAAACAGATTTGCTCCTCTAGGTTAAAATCAATCTTTTATCAACAGCTAAGTTAGGAAAGTCTGGATTCATTAGAGGCAAAATTTCAGCACTGCTGTGCCAAGTAACAAACTTGGAAGATACCTGAATTAATTTGTTTTAACTGAAAGCCTCGCCAGACTAGAAGAGAAAGTTAGAAAATTAAAGTTTGGACCCATAAAGGAAAATGTCATAGCAGAAGTGAAGGTGAGAAACATCCATAGGGAAAACCAGAATACTAGTTACAAGACAGGTTCCTGTAAAAAGATCCATGTCTATCTATATATATAATGGTATATTTATCTTCTGCAATTAACTCCAAGTCAACAGCATGCAATTGTTAAACTAAGTTTCAAGTCTGGGACCTGGCACACACAATATATACTATGGTGACATTTACGGCACCAAGTATGTGCTGCTACTTCCTCTTTCAGCACCTGGCTGACATCCATTCCAAGCCCGTTGTTTTCTAAATCTTGTCATCTAAAATAAATATCAAAAATTGAAAACTAGTATGACTAAAAACAAAAGCCGAACCTCAGTCATAACCTAAGAATGTCTAATAAAACATTCTTTTTGAGACTGTTTGAATGTGAATCTCTTCTTTATAATTACTATAAGGGCATTAAAGTAAGTGTTAGCACTGATGATGTTACATCATTTGGGTAATGAAATGTCTGCAAGAAAAGAACCAAGCTCAGAGAGGACCAGGGACCCTTCA